TCTTCGCCAGGAGTTTTTTGTTGTTGTTGTTGGTAATTCTTTTATGCCCTGTTCAATTTCTTCTTTTGTTATGGGTCTGTTCAAATTTTCCACCTCAGTTTGTGTTAGTTTAGGTAAGCAGTAGTATGTTTCTAGAAATCTTCCCATTACTTCTATATATTCAAATTTGTTTGAGTACAGTTCTTCATAGTATCCTGATATTCTTTTTATTTCACTTGGTTCTGTTGTGACATTGCCAAATTCATTTCTTATTTGTGTTATTTGTATTATTTCCCTCTTTTCCTTTGTTAAGTTTGCCAGTGGTTTGTGAATTTTATCAATCTTTTTAAAAAAACCAACTACTAGCCTTGTTGATTTTTTTGATTGTCTATTTTCTGTTTCATTTATTTCTGCTCAAATCCTTATTATTTCTTTTCTTCTGATTACTGTAGGCTTCTTTTGCTGCTCTTTTTCTAATTTTTGGGGATGTTGGCTTAGCTGTTGATTTTGACTCTTCTTTTTTGTTGTGTGCATTTATTGCTACAAATTGCCCTCTGATCACTGCTTTTGCTGTGTCCCAAAGATTTTGGTATGTTGTATATTCATTCTTATTTTATTCAAGGAATTTTTTTAATTTCATTTTTTATTTCTTCTATTACCCAGTCAGTTTTAAGGAAAGTGTTACTCAATTTCCATGCATTTGCTCTTTTTTTTCCATTTATTTTCTTAATGTTGATTTCTAATTTTATAGCATTGTATTCTGAGAAGATGCTTTGGAGTATTGCAATGTTTTTAAATTTATTAAGGCTTGCTCTGTGCCTTAACATATGGTCTATCCTGCAGAATGTTCCATGTGCACTGGAAAAGAATTGTGCTGTTGTTATGTGAAATGCTCTGTAGATGTCTATAAGGTCAAGTTGGTGGATTGTATTGTTTAGTTCTGTGTCTGTTGAGTTTCTTCCAGTGTTCTGTCTTTGATTGAAAGTGGTGTATTAAAGTCTCCTACTATGACAGTGGAGCCATCTATTTGTCTTTTCAATTCAGTTAAAGTCTGATTTATGTATTTTGGGGCTCTTTCACTGGGTGCATAGATATTTATTATGGTTATGTCTTCTTGTTCAATTGATACTTAAAAAACCCAAACTCACTGCCATCAAGTCGGATCCAAGTCATAGTGACCCCTCCTCAGGTTTCCAAGGTAATATCACTGCAGAAGTGGATTGCCCAATCTTCCTTCTGAGGAGTGGCTAGTGGGTTTGAACCACCAGCCTTCTGGTTAGTAGTCAAATGCCTTAGACACTACAGTGTCTTTCCTTGTCTTTTATGGTGGCTTTTGCCTTAATGTCAATTTTATCAGAAATTAATATTGCCACTCCTGCTCTTTTTTGATTGACATTTGCTTGATATATCTTTTTCCAACCTTTGATTTTTAGTCTATTTGATTCTTTCTCTCTAAGGTGTGTCTTATGTAGACAGCATATTGATTGATGGGCTATGTTTTCTTTTCCAGTCTGCAAGTCTCTGTCCTTGAATGGTGTATTTAATCCATTTATTTTCACTGTAATTATTGACAAGTATGAATTTATTGCTGTCATTTTGTTATATGTTTTTTCATGGTGTTGGTGATTTCCTTGTTCTGCATAATTCTCTTTTCTGAGCTCATTTTGTTCATGAATCATATGATCTCCTTTGTTGCTATTGTTCTAGTATTTGCTACATATTTGTCCTTATCTTCTTTTTTGTTCTGATGTGAAGATTTATCATTTTTCTTTGAGGTCGCCTTGTGATTTATAATTTTCTTCCCAAATTTAGAACAATCCATTTTCTCTTGCAATTGTCTTAGCTTCCTTAGCATTTAGAAGTTCTGCAATGACACAATTTTTTCCATCTTTTTATTTTATAGTTGTCCTCATTTCCCAATTGATGTCTCTGGTTCCCTGTTTACAATCCTGTAAGCTTATTTTACTTTGGATATTTCTATAACTGGGTTGGTTTCTGGGTTATGTCATCATGTGTCTTAATGGTCATTTTTCATTTGCTGTTGTTGGTTCTCTGTTCAAAGGACACCCTTTAGCATCTCCTGTAAGGTTGGTCTGGTTTTACAAATTACCTTAATTTATGCTTATCTG